GAGTAATTCTTCTTGGTGACTTAAATTTTTAGAGAGCCTCTGTCCACCCACTCATTTTACAGATGAAGAAAATAAGTCTGAATAGTAATTTGGCTCATGACTGAGAAACTGAAAACTCATTGGTATGTTGATTTTTTTTTTGTATTCTCCATATCCCTTTACTTAGACTCCAAAGGGTTGTAAAGGATGTATATGTCCTTATCAAAAAGCCTTGATGGAAGTAATATGTGATTTAAACATAACTGGAAAACAGAAACTGGGGGTTGGGGGGAAGGGTAACTATAATACTTGCCGTGCTATTAAAAATAGCTTATTCCCAAACACTACTAGAAGATACAGGAATGAAAAGTAGTAAACACTCAAACATCAGTACAGTAATCCATCAAACTCTAAAGATGAATAAAAGAAGAAAAAGGCTTCAAAACAACAAGAAGAAAATTATACAATCAAGCATATATCTTTTGACGATAGCTCAATATAAATGAGCTTATTCTCCAATTAAAAGATGCAGACTAGATAATTGGATTAAGAAAGATGCAATAATATTGTGTCTGTAAGAAAACTTATAAGAAAGACACAATCTTAAGTGAAATGTTGGAGAGTGATATTCCAAACAAATGGATTCTGAAACCAAGAATAGTCAGCTATGTTTATAGCCAACAAAATAATATTGTAAGACAGAATCATAAGAAAAAAAGGTTATTTGTTGATCAAAGAAATAATTCATAAAAGATATATTTATATGCACTAAGTATCAGAGCACCTGGCTTTATAGACAACTATGACTGAAGGGGAGATAGGGCCTCCAACATAGTAATAGTATGTGATTTGACTATACCACTCATCAATACATTATCTGTATTTTTTAAAATTAAGCTCCTAGTCTCTCATCACAGTGGAATGGAAGTTGAAATCAACAGCAGGAGAAACTACAAAAACAGTACCAAGAAGGAAATTTATAGCAATGAGTGCCCATACTATAAAAAGAGATCTCAACCTAATGATGCATCTCAAGATCTTAGAAAAATGACAACAAACCAAACCAGAAACAGAAACCATAATGAGGACACAAATAAATGGAATAAAGCCTAAAGGAACCCCATAAAGGACCATTGAAACAAGTGCTGGTTCCCTGAGTGAAAGCTAAACTAGCTGAAAGAGAAGAGCCAAATAGACAGAAATAAAAGACATTACAGTTGATACTACTAGAAACTCAAAGGAGCATTAGGGGATATTTTGCCAGAAAATGTGCTCATAAATTAGCAAATGTAGACAAAATAGATTGTGGGCAACTGTGACCTACCAAAATTGAAAGAAAAGTATTTAAGAAACTAAGAACAACAATATCATGAGATTAAACCAGTAATGATTCTCCAACAAAGACCCAGGACCAGATGGCTTCACTACTGAATTTCCACAAATTTGAAACACAATAAAAGATACCAAAGTACCTTACACTACAACAAAATATGAAGGTAAGAATTTCTTCGAAACTCATTCTCAGGCCACATTACCCAGATACCAAAACCTGACAAGGACACAATAACAAAAACAAAAAGCTATAGCCCAATATCTGATGACTGCAATGGATGCAAAAATCTTCAACATAATACACTTAATTTAAATATGAAAGCATATTAAAAAGATCACATACTGATAGGCATGATGAAGTCCTGGAGTCCATGAGACAGGCAGGAGGAATGTTGGTTGCTAACCTGGCTTATATAATGTGTTGAGGATACTCTATGCTACATAGTGAGATGCTGTCTCAAGAAGTCAAAGAATGAAACAGGTAAAGCATGCCATGATCAAGTTGGAATAATTACTAGGCTGCAGGGATGGTTCAATTTGCACAATTCAATGAATGTACCTAAATAGAATAAAAGAAAATCACAGTCATCTGAGGAGATCTAGAAGTAACATTTGAGAAACTTCTACATGGCTTCATGATAAAAAGCCCTTGATTAGTATAGAAGGATCATACCTCAACATATTAAAGGATGTACATGACAAGCATAGCCAATACGATGTTGAATGGAAAAAAAATGCATTTCTTTAAAAATCGGGAATAAGACAAGGGTATCTAATATAACCATTGTTATTCAATACACTATCATTTTAGTTTCAGAAATGAGAAAAAAAGAAGTTAAGGCTGAAATCTTGGTTGGCACATATGATATTAAACATAGAAAAAGGTTACCAAAAGACTACTAATGAATTCATTCACAAAAAATATACATTGTACAAGATCAATATATAAATACCAGTAGTTGGTCTACATGCCAGCAAAGAAATCACAGAGATGGGAATTCAGAATCCTGTTTATCATAGCTACAACAAAATCCCTAGAAATAGCCCTAAAATTATAATTGCCTAAGGGTGTGAAAGATCTCTACACTGAAAATTATAAAACTGTTGAAAGAAATCAAAGACAGTAAAGGTAAGGTCTCCCATGTTCATGGGTTGGAGAACTAATGTTAAGTCCGTATTACTCAAAGCATTTTACTGAAAAGTCAACCTCTACCAAAATATCAATGACATTCTTCATAGAACTAAAATTAATATGAACATGTAAAAGACTGTAAATAGCCAAAGGAATATTGAGTATAAACAGCAAAGCCAGAGATACAGTGAGAAAAATACCATGGCTTGACATTAAAAAAAAAAAAAGACTTGTAGAACAGGATAAAGAAATCCATGTATCTCCAGACAATTGATTCTCAGCAAAGATGACAAAACACACACATAGGAGAAAGGGAAGCTTCTCAACAAATGGTGCTGAGGAAACTGGATATTTGCATGCAGAAGATTAAAATTTGAGCTCTCTCTCTCATCCTGTACAAAAGATCTAGCACAGACAACTTCCTGGATCAGACTCGAAAAGCACAGAAAATGAGAGCAAGAATTTGCTCACGGGATTATTTCAAGAGAAATGATAAGCAGAGTAAAGAGACCATCTACAGAATGGAAAACACACAAAGAATGGGAGAAACATCTTTCCCAGCTGTTCATCTGAGGAAGATTAACGTCTAGAATATCAAAAACTGAAAACTAACAAATTCAAGAATTCCAATTTAAAAATGAACACATCTGAATATTTTTCAAAGAAATGCAAATGACCAAGAACTGTGTGAAAATTCCTCAATATCATTGTCCAATGAAATGTAAATAGAAACTATATTGCTACTCCATCTCACCATAATTAGATGACCACCATCAAAAATTAATAGATACTGGTGTGGGTGTGAAGGAGTAAGAACACCAAGCTGTAAATACTAGTGTGGCCATTTTGGAAAACAGTATCAAGATTCATCACATTAAAAAACAAAACAAAACAAAAAAACCAGCCAGGTGTGGTGGCCTGTAGTTCCAGCACTTGGGAGGCAGAGGCAGGCAGATCTTTGTGAGTTCAAGGCCAGCCTGGTCTACATAGTGAGTTCCAGGGCAACTGGGACTCCAGGGAGACCCTGTCTCAAAAAGACAAAAAAAAAAAAAAAAAAAAAAAAAAACTAAAAATAGAACTACCATATCAATTAAAAATCTGAAAGAAATAAAGTCAGCCTACAAAAGAGATAGCTGCATTCATATATAAATTGCTCACTGTTCACAATAGCCAAGACAAGAGAATCAGCCTAGGTAGCTGGCTAGAGATGAAGGGTTAAATAAAATATGGTATATGCATATCTTTTAGTATTATTTAGCAGTGAAGAAGAAGAACATTCTATCATTTGTGGGAAAATAAAACTAGAAGATGCCATACTAAATGACACAAAGCAAACAAAAGTGTGTGCTTTGTTTCACATGTAGAATATTTTAAAAGCTGAGAGAAGAAAGCTATAAAGGACTGGGAAGGGGTGGGGAGAGAGAAGTAGGTGGATGTGACAGGAATATATGAAATAGTGGATCCTGTTAATTTGTGACATGAATGTATAGGCATGGTAGATCCTGTTAATTTGTGGCATGAATATATAGGCATAGTGGATCCTATTAATTTGTAGTCTTTGACATAGTATTTTCACGTTCAAGAACTTTCTAAAATAAATCAATATTGACAAATGTTCATTCATAAAGAAACTTGTCAAAAGCTTGTTTTTAAATAGGTAATGTTGCTAGGGATGCCTAACAGGTTGCTATAGTAAAGTTGTCATCAGCACTCCCCTATATGTATTTAATAATTTTGGAAAATACTCTTGGTTTTATTAAGATAAAAAATTATAACCAAATACAGAATCCAGAATCTATTTTATTAAGAATGCAAATGCTTGACAAAAAAACAATATTTAAGTTAATGTCTGAAAAACACTAATATTTACCTTTTATTACCTTTTTATCTTTGCAACGTATTCCAAACATTCTTAGGTTTTTAATAGTGGAAATTGTAAAGAGAAAAATACATAAATATCTCATTTAAAAAATATGAGAAGCCAAGAATCATAGAGCATTGCCATTATTTATAGCACTCAGGAGACGAAGGTGGGAGGTTATCAAGTTCAAGGGCAGCATGGGATGTTTAGCAAGACCCTGCTTCAAATAAGTGAATAAACAAAGTGAAATGATTATAAAGTTAAAATTTCCTTGTCCACTGTAGAAGAAAGAGCACTGCAAAAGTGCTGAATTCTCAAGTTACTTTTTCTGGGGGGAGTCTTTTTGAGACAGGGTCTCCCTGTAGTACCAGCTGGCCTAGAATTTACTTTGTAGACTAGGCTGGCCTTGAACTCACAGAGATCTGACTGCTTCTGCCTCCCAAGTGCTGGGATTAAAGGCATGTGCCACTACGCCCAGTTTTAGGTTAACTTTTTAAAGCCATATAGAGCTAGTGACTTTAGGCAATCTGAGCTTCACTTTCTACAAAAAGTAAATTTAGTTGAGCTCCAAAATCTAAAATGAAATTTCATAAATTACTCTATATTAACACTTTGGTAACATGTTAATTTTAATAATATAGTTTATAGAATTCAAATGAATTGCCTTTGTTTGACCTTGTGCTTGATCTGTTGCAGATTGCTACTGAAGCAATAGAAAACTTCCGAACTGTCGTTTCTTTGACTCGGGAACAGAAGTTTGAAAACATGTATGCCCAGAGCTTGCAGGTCCCATACAGGTAAGAACCCCTGAAGAGTAGGAGGGGAGTCTGAGGAGTGTTCAATCAGATTTATTTTCAGGATTGCCTTAGCCAGGAGGTAGAGTGCAAGTGGAGAAAGATCTAGAAGGGAGCCAGTTGGGAACCACCTGAGTTTATCCAAGAGAGAAAGGAGAGAATCTGAGCTTAGGCAGGGACATCTGCGAGGTAGACCTGGTGAAGGCTGTGACAGGAAGTTGGGGGGAGCGGCAGGGAGAGGGCATTGGTAATGACGCTGATGACCAGTCGGATAATGACTCTGCTGTAGTTCAAGTGAAAGTTGTTTATGGAACATGGAATTAGAGGTGTCCAGGGACACTGAGAGGTGGTGGTTCCTGAGGATGCATTCTGTTCCTTTCTTCTCCGGTAGAGACCATCTCTTCTTCCTTTAGCACCGCAGTATCAGGGGCAGCTCTAATAAGTGATGAGAACATGAGCACCCCAACCCCAAAGACTCAGTTCTCTAGGAACAGGAGATAGCTGGATCTTGCTGATGGGTTTTCAGATACTTTTTTTTCATAATCACAGTGGGACCTCTTTTCTGAAAAAGTTTTCACTTGAAATACCAATATATGGCAAAGATAAGAGTGAAGTTGACGAGTTTAAATAGGGGTAGGACATTCAAAGGCCTGCCCAGTTCTCACTCTGTTCCTGCCCACACCTCCACACCCAAATCCCATGCTTTTTTCTTCCCACAGCACATTTCTCCTTAAGTTCCTCCACTACCCTGATAATGATCCAGCTCATCTTCTAGATCCCCAAGGGCAAGACATGCCTGTACCCAACACCCGTGTTGTCCATAGCTTATAGGTGTTGCACAGATATGTGTGGGATGAGTGTTTACTCTGGAGGACACTGGGCTCTATGTCCTATAGTGGGCAAAGGAAAGGACCTTTCATTCATTAATGTAAAAGAAGCTCTTTACAGAGTTGTAGGCTCCGTTTATCTTTACATCAACCCACTGAGATGTAGTCATCCTATATCAAAGATGGAGACACTGGCTCAGAGATAAGGTGGTTTCCTAAATCCCCAAAACTATAATAAAATGTGGATCAAGCTTAATTCCTTAGAACAGGAATTTATTTGTGTGTGTCAGTCTATGTGCCCCACTGCATTTTAATGACTAACAAATGAAGCGGGGTAACTTTTGGTTGTTCTTTACAGAAATGCTTTGAAGAAAGCACAGATCTTTGGGATCACATTCTCCTTCACCCAGGCGATGATGTATTTTTCTTATGCTGCTTGTTTCCGGTTTGGTTCCTTCTTGGTGACACATGATTTGATGACTTTCCAAAATGTTCTCTTGTAAGTATTGAATTCCTGAGTGGGGAATTATTTGATACATTGCTTTACTCAATGCCTTTGAACTAATGAAATTTGTGGACACACTAATATTAGGTTTATAAAATCAGTCTTCTAAGTAGTAAAGCCCAAGGGAGAACTGTGTGAAAGGTAATCCATTTGAACTAGATCTCACATATTTAAATGAGTAAGGGCAAGATTCACCACCTGTGTGACTTACTTAGATGTAGTGTTAAAATTTTCAGTATATTTCTTTAGCATAAATAAAAAGTCCCACCAGGTGTGGTGGCACATGCCTTTGATCCCAGCAGAGGCAGGTGGATCTCTGTGAGTTCAAGCCAGCCTAGTCTGGTCTACATAGTGAGTTCCAGGCCAGCTGGGACTATAGGGAGACCCTGTCTCAAAAAGACCAAAAATAAATAAATAAATAAATAAATAAATAAATAAATAAATAAAGTCCCATTAAACCAGGCATGGTGGTACCTGCCTTTAATCCCAACACTTGGGAGGCAGAGGCAGGTAGGTGGATCCCTATGAGATCAAGACCAGCCTGGTCTGCATAGCAAGTTTCAGGTCAGCTGGTGCTACGGGGAGAACCTGTCTCAAACAAATAAAGAAAGTAGGGGAGGACATCGACAACTGGGCTTGGTATCTATCAGATCCTTTCAGGCCCGTGCTGACTGTGATTCGTATATCACAGATTTGTAAACTGCAGGATGTGGTATGTAAAGAGATCTGTCTTTGTTGCATAGTTCACAGGTCTTATAAGAATCAAATGACATTCCAGCAACCAGCCATTAAGCCTCAACATTTATTTTTCCCATGTCTCAGTCATTTGTGCTGATCTGGTTTGGGCATAGGCGCTCTCAGCTCACCTCACTTCCATGTACAGGGGCTTTAGAGTAGCTGGTTAGAATCAGAGCTCTTCTTTCTGTGCACCTTGTCTTCCAACAGCCTTGCTTGGAGCTGGTAGTGGCAGGAGAGAGAGGAGAGAGAGGAGAGAGGGGAGAGAGAGAGAGAGAGAGAGAGAGAGAGAGAGAGAGAGAACAAGAATGAAAAGGCATAGCATATGAGACCTCCTGAGTCACAGACTTACACCTAACAACAGTGATTTCTGCTACATCTTGCTGGTTAAAGAAAGTCACAGGGTGAACCTAGATTCAAAGGGGTGGAAACCACAGTTCACTTTTTAAACAAAAGCACTGCACAGGTCAGGGAGAGATGAAAGAATTGGCCATTTTGTATCAGTCACACTGATATGCATTTAAGGAAAAGTGTTTGATTTTAAAACTTTTATAATTATTTTTGACAATTCTTCCTGGTTGCATAATTTGTTGTTGTTTTCACACTACTCTTAAATAATCATAAACATTTTAAAACATGTGCTGTTCAAAATGAGAAACATATCCATAAAGAAGTTCTTTAATACATTTTGTTTTCTGGGTATATTAATTAACTTTTCCTGTTTCTGTCATATAATATCCTAAAAAAAGCAATTTAAGGGAGAAGGAGTTTATTCTGCTCACAGTTTAAGGGGACACATTTCATTATGGCAGCAGGAGTGTGAACCTGGCCAGCAGGTAACCCTGCATCAGCAATCAAATAGCAGAGACTAAACAGGAAGTGGGTCTGGGCTTAAAGCTGCCCACAGTGACCCACTTCCTCTTGCAAAGCTCCATATCCTAAAGGTTATGCAGCCTTCCCAAAGAGCCCCCAGTTGGGGATCAAGTGTTCAAACACATGAGTCTTTGCAAGATATCTCATAGTCAAACCACAATATCCTTCCATTCTTTCATATTTAAAATACAAAAATTAAAAAGTAGTAGCTGACTTCCTTATCATCATTGTTCATGTAAGTACAAATGATGTTCACATGAAGATACTAAACTACCCACTAATACTCCAATCTAGTAGATAAGTCAACATCTCTTCCAATATTGTCCAATAGAGAAGAAAATAACTTCAATTTTAAACAAACTCATCAACATATAAAAGAAAACAGAACCATCTTACCATGGCCCTGTGACAAAGAACACGAGCAGTTTGCTACAGTTCCCAGGCAGTGGGGTTTGGCAAGGGACAAGGGGATCAGGGGCACAATCTCTGGGTAGGGTGCTGCTGACCTGCTTTGGGAGGAGCAGGTGAGGGCAGCCCTTCCTTCTCGATAGAAAATCTTAGTCCAGTGATTGTAATCTACTTCTAGCAAACGGGGTGTCTTCGGGGAAGCCAGGTGGACTTCTTTCCAGAAGGTTCCCACTGAAATTAAAGCATTCAACCTAGAGTCGATGAAGGACTGCAGGGAACTCATTCTCTCTTTCTTTGGACACTCCCCTTGAGAAAACCGGGCCAGCTCCTGGCTGAGGTCTTCTGTCTTCTAGTGTACTTGTGGCATCACCAGTGGGCCAAAGTGGGTGGTGAGTGGTATCATTTCCAAGCAGGCCCAGGCTGGGACTCTGGTGGCTTCTTCATAGTTCTTACATAAGGTTTTTCTGTATGCATCACTGTGGTCATCCAGCATCCTGCTCCCAGATGTAGATGCTTCCATTGCAGCCATGACTTTCATGCATGTCTTTGGTCTTTTGTTTTTCAGGGTATTTTCCGCTGTTGTCTTTGGTGCCTTAGCAGCAGGGAATGCCAGTTCTTTTGCTCCTGACTATGCCAAAGCCAAAGTGTCGGCATCACACATCATCATGATCATTGAAAAGGTCCCCGAGATTGACAGCTACAGCACAGAAGGCCTAAAGCCTGTGAGTTTGTTCTTGCAGTTACATGATATACTCCAACTTCTTGCATGAAAGTACTTGAAGGAGAATTTAATATAGTTTGTATGATTTTATTTACTGATTAAAATATAAAATTTTCTAGATCTTGGGTTTATTTTAGTAAATGTTAACATGTATTATAACCCAGTACATAGCAAAATTACAGAGAGATAAGAATATTGCCCCCTTTATAGGCAAATTCTACCACTCGAGTTTTCTCTTATATAGATGATTACTGTAGAATAATAGCTTTATCACATTTGTGTTGTACATTGGGTTGCATGTACACCTCAAGGCAGAAAGACATTAAGATTTTTTTAATTCCATTTTTATTTATTTGTGTGTATGTGTAGATGCACGCATGCCACAGCACACATGTGAAGGACAGAGGACAACTTGTGGGAGTCAGTTCTCTCCTTCTACCATGTGGGTTCTGGGGATCCAACTCAGGTTGTCAGGCTTGGTGGCAAGTGCCTCTACCTGCTAAGTCATCTCGCCATCCCAGGCATCATTCTTTTGAGCTTATTTTCCAAATTCTAGCCATTTGAAATGGTTTAAATGAAAATGGTTGCTAGAGTTCATTGAAGCTTCTGGTGGCGAAAGGTCTGTTGCAAGCTGTTTGAAACAGTCATGGCTGGAATAGTGTTTTCCCCAGCTGAAGCTGTGTGTCTGCAGCAAGCAGCTGTAATTGCAGTGTTACTTCCTCTAGGCATCCATGGTGTTGTTCAAAGCATCCAAGATGGCATTAGAACAGCTCTTCCAGCAGCCAAAGACACTGCTTAGCTCACAGTCTTCTCCTTGAGAAAGCCAGATAACAAGAGAAGGGCCTGTCAAACAACCTGATTTTGACACTCTCAAACATTCATGTAAAGTATTAAAAGGGTGCTTACAATAAAGACAATGACTGCTCAACACAGAACCAAGAATTCTAATTTAACACTATTTAATAGTATTTAACAATGCTTAACAGTGCTTAAGACTTGCCCCAGTACCCAGGGATAGACCCTCCCCCCTCCAATTTGTGTCATCTTCTGACACTTAGAGAGAGAAGGAATTAGCTCTTGTGTTTTCAGTATTGTCATAATCAAATTTACTATTGTTATTATCATATTAGAATATGTTGGAAGGAAATGTGGCATTTACTGGAGTCATGTTCAACTATCCCACTCGACCTAACATCCCAGTGCTTCAGGAGCTGAACCTTGAAGTGAAGAAGGGCCAGACACTGGCCCTGGTGGGCAGCAGTGGCTGTGGGAAGAGCACGGTGATCCAACTGCTTGAGCGCTTCTATAACCCCCTCTCCGGAACAGTGGTGAGCACACACTTTTGTATTCAGATCATTTCAGGTTTTCATCATCCAAATGCCTGCATATTGTTAACACTTGATTATAAGCCATGTTTTTTCATATCTTCAAATAATAGTCCCATTGAGAAACATCTGATAGCCTAAGTTTGATGTCTGAGCTGTGCCATTTGCCCCAGCCTCCTCTATCAACAGTGCTCTTCTGTCTTCCTTGACAGTAGCCATCTTTACCACCCATCTTCCTTACTGTGGTTAAATTTTAGCAGATATGAAAAAGGCAGCAAAAATGAGAGTTGCTAGAAAATAGAGAAGAGGCTCTAGGAGTTGTGGGGTCTCTCCCTTCCCTCGGGGGTCATTGGCCACCATTCCATGAGGACAAGGGGAGCAGAAGTGACGGACGGGGTCAGGACGGCCAGTGAGCACTGACGGAAGAAAACCCTTCCGGGGAGGCAGGTTCAGTGATACAAACAGCTCCAGACTCAGTGAAACAGCTCCATTTATTCAGTGGGAGAACTAGGGAAAATATAGTGTGGAGGCAGTAGCCAATGCTTCAGCTGATAGGTGCTTATAGTATGCTTTATTTACATGTGGCAGGAGGCTCCTATCATCCGACTATCGGTCAATGCCTAATTATCATATAGAAAAAACCTGGGGGTAGTTTTTACTCCAGGTAACTATGCCGAAGGTCATGTTCCAAATAAGGTCAGGCATCCGTGCTTGGCAGCACTCTCCAGGTAAGTCAGGCAGAGAGCAGGAGGCCCCCTACTAAGAAGGGGAGTCCTTCCATATAGTACTGAGCCCCTTAGAGCTATCCGGACATGAAGGACCACAACCCTAGCAGCAGGGTTCCCCAACAAGGAGTGACAGGGGAATGAAACCCAAAGATGGGGTATGTTTCAAGAAGATGGCCAGTGAGGACAAAGGCAGTGTGGGTAAGGTAGGGACTGAGAAGTCCTGATAAGATTTGACAGTTAATGGACTGTTCCTATCACTTTGTACTCTTAGTGAAGAAACGAGGCAATAGGAGCAAACAGATGAGTGTGGCTAAGGGATGGTTGGAAGAGGACATGGAAATTTAAGTGGGTGGGCTGTGAAGATCACAGGTAAAAGGCCGGTAAGAACAGGAGTGACCACAGGAGGCAGTTCAGGGACTGTGTTTTAATGGGAGGAATATGGAGTGGTTTTGTGGCAGTGAATTTAAGTGAGTATGGGGTATAGGAGAAAAAGTAAAACAAACAAAAACCCAGAATTTAGAGCAGGAAATTGTGATTCAGAGTATATAACCATTGCAGAGATGTGAGTAGTTATGCACAGAGTTGCTCATCAATTCCAAGGGACCCTGGCTTCAGTAATGTCTGAGATGAAAGAATTTTCAATCTGCCATCTATGGCTGTTTTAACTTCCCCACAGTAATTACTCAAAACCAATAATGATTTTACTTATTTTTACTCCTTTTTAAAAAAATTTGAGTTCTGATTTTATGCTTCAGATTGATTGTTAAAGTTTGAGCAAAGAACTCTAAATAAAGTCTTTCTAATACTGATAGCAATTAGAGGAGATACTACCAGAAAGGGATTAAGGTCCTCAAGAGAGTTTATATACAGCATGTTAAATGTTGTACTATAAAGAATTGTAGACCAGCTGTGGTGGCACATGCTTTGAATCCCAGCACTCGGGAGGCAGAGGCAGTGGATCTTTGTGAGTTCAAGGCCAACCTGGTCTACATAGTGAGTTCTAGGCCAGCTGGGGCTACAGGGAGACCTGTCTCAAAAAGACCAAAAAAAAAAAAAAAAAAAAAAAAAAAAGTTGGAGAGGGGAGCGGTTTAACCAAGGGAAAGAGAAAAAAATCTTGCAACATTAAAAAAAAAAAAAAAAAAAAAAAAAAAAAAAAAAAAAAAGAGTTGTAGGATGTAGCGGCTTTAACCAAGGAGATAGGAAATATACTTGCATACATTTCATTAAAGAAGTGAGGCCTGGAGCTGGCCCTGTGTGGCTGAGTAAGATTTGTATATTGCAGAGTCATGGAGCTGGCACTCAATGCAAGAGGTGATATGGGCTGTGGTTAAGAGATTTGATCCCAGTGTGGCAGTTTTGCCAGTTCACCTGAAGTGGAATTTAGCAGAGGTATTAGTTCCCAAATTTTTCTGTTACAGTCTATGAAAGATTTTTGAATTTTGTAACTTCCTAATGCATTCGTGATTGCTTTCCAGTAGAAAAAACACTATTACTATCATGCAGGCAAGCTATAAATCCTGGAAGCTCCCTGGAAGAGGAAGATGAAGAAGAGAAAGAAAAAAGGCCCCCCATGGGGGATAAGCAGCTTCATGGCGGGGATGGGAGCTTTAGAGAAAGAGTGAAAAAACCCAAAGTCCCAGGAAAGCATTATTAGGCTCTGACTAGCATCCAAAAGAAAGAGAAAGAAAGAAGAGTCAGAGTTATGCCTTCTGAGTCAGGGCACAGTAAGGTGGCCTCTGGGTGACTGTACTAAGGGCAGAGATTCTGGGAAGGAAAAGTATATTATCCCATTAAAGGAATAATTACCCTCTTACCTGTTTAGCATATTTAAGTTGAACTTCCCCAGGGGTGATCCTTTGGCCAGGTGATTGACCTGTCCAACTGGAGTAACTCTTTTATTTATTTTTGTTTTTTGAGAATTTCACATATGAGTCTTGGCTTTATTTCCATCTTTCCCAGTCTCCCTCCAACTCTTCCTGTATCCCTCCACTCCCTCTCAATTTCTTCTCCCCTTCTTTAATTATTATTGCTATATATGCATGCATACATTTATAAATATACATATATAATGTACTGAGTCCATTAAGTGGTGCTCATGTGTACCTGTGCTTAGGGCTGCCAATTTGGGATTAGATAACCTCTCAAGGAGTTTAGCCCCTGGAGAAAACTGATTCTCCCTCCTTCAGCATTCATTGATTGTCTGTAGCTCTCCATCTTGAGGTGGAACCCTGTGATGTTCCCCCCACCCACCTTGGCATGTCAACTGGCTTTGTCATTATACAGAGCTCAGACTCCCACACTGTGGAGATTTCTTGGTGCAGCTTCCCTATCATGTCTAGAATGCATTAACTAGCAGCAGGTGTCTTGTCCCTCAGGCTCTTACATTCTTTCTGCCCCCTCTTCTGCAATGTTCACTGAGCCTTAGGTGTAGACGTTGCATTGTTGATGTGTCAGGGCTGGGCACCTCACAGTCACTTATTCTCTGTATTTGACTAGTTGCTAACTTTGTAATAATCTCCATTTGCTGCAAAATGAAGCTTCTTTGGTGAGTGGTAAGAGGTATACTTGCCTCTAAATATAAGGATATGTATTTAGAATACAGTAAGAAATTTTGTTGGTCTAGGGAAGTAACACAAGTAGATTTTTCTCTAGGATCTATGACCTCTCCAGCCATGTGTACTTGGCTATGTTTGCAGTACCATGCATGATTTCCTCTTATTGAGTGGGCCATAAGTCTAATTAGACAGCTCTTGACTATCCACAAGGTAAAAGTGCCACTACTGTACCAACAGAGATAGTTTGCTGAGCTGGTCATTGTTGTGGTTCATATACTTCATAGGTGGGTTTCTATCATTGGTCAGTTTTCTCCCATGGTGGCTTGCATAGTATCTTCTGATATTTTGAGAGCTAATGTTCGGAGAGTAGGCTTTCAAGTCAGTTCCAGTTCAATTGCTCTAAGTCCCATGTCTGAAGTATGTTGTGTCTTCAGCAATAGGGTTTTACCTTCAAGTTCTGGAAGGTGATCAAGGGTTGTGGCATAACCTGTATTATTTTGGGAGTCTCTTGGACTACACTGACGAACAACTGAAAGGAAAGTTTCCCTTGCCTGTACACATGCACTCACATTTATATTATATGCATATTTTTCAGTAGGCTTTATTAAATAATTGCATTTTGCTTTGGTTTTTCACAGTACTTAAGCAGTAGTATATAGACCCCCTTCCTCCCTCCCCAGTTAAAGTACCCCTATTTTCCCCATTTCCCCTTTGATGTCTCCTGTTCCTGGATTAAGTCTTAAGGGAGGACACAATGACCTGTTTTCACCCAGAGGTAGTTTCCATTCTTTACTGTAATAATAGAAAATAGTAAAACAATTACATAAGAGCATTAGGAATAATGATTCTATAAAGATATTAACATAAGCAGAACATATTATAGAACATGGGCCGGTATCATTTCAGTTCCGTGTAGGAAATAGAAATTCCTCTTAAATAGTTCAAGTAAATGAGTATTTGATAAAGGGAGTTAGGTGCTTACTCCTTGCAAGAGTTGAATGAATGGAAGTAAAGGAGGCTGCCTCAGAATCCCAAATCACAATTCTGCAGCTGTGGTCCTATGACTAGGAAGCTACAAGAAATTATGCCCATGTCACAGTTGTTCCTAACTTGTAAATCAAGCTTGGTTTGACTGTTGCAAAAACTCCCATCTTTCATAACAATGTCAGCTTCCCACTGTTGCTGAAGGAGAATTGATGTCTGCTTTCCAGATTTTAAATAATAACTCTCACTGGTAGAATCTGACTTACTTTAAGAACAAGGGGGTCTGGAAAAGAGTTTTTAGCCTTATAGTTTTTAGTATATAGCGAGGTAGACAGAAAAGAAAGTGAAAGTGAAGAAAGCTAATTGAGCAGGACAGTAACCATCTCAAGACAACCCTATGTAAATGTATGGAAAGCAGCGTATTCTCAGTTATCACGGGAGTATTTGTTACCTCCCTCTGTGCATTTGCACTGGAGCCTTAAAATACAAATGTTCATAACTGTCAGACTTCTTGCAGAAGTGTTATGTAATGCTACTCCTGGAGACACGAACAAATAACTACTCCCCCAGCTAAGGAACCAGTTACAGACCAAAGTAAGAACACTACTAAAATCCAGCTTGGTGAAGCAATGAGTTTTACTGGGGTTACTTAAGAAGTAAGGGTGAGGGGTCACTTCAGAAATGACTCAAAGACAGCTGCACTCAAAAGCCCACCTATCATGGATGGCAGGACCT